CATCACCCTGAAGTGGCAAAATATTAATTATCAGTGCACCGTGAAAACTATGTAGATGATAAGCCCTGAAAGATCACTTAAGGTACATGAGAAAGGGAAAGGGAATACTAAAAATGTCTGACTTATCGGAAAATAGGCAGAAAAAGAAAAACAGGATAAAAAACGAAGAGGGAAACAAAATAATCATAAAAGAATAGTTGAACCAGATGTACGAAACTTTGCATTAAAAATCTGCATTAAAAAATTTGTAAGTCTCTGTGTACCTCATGGTGTTTCACTAATAAAAAAATCTGCATTAAATATAAATGGGCTAAATACACATATTAAAAGATATATCACAGTTATTAGGGGACATAAAGTCACTATCCTAGCTATGGAACGTGTCAGACCGTTTCCTGAACGGAATAAGAAAGGAACCAGAGAGGAAGCTCCTGGATGCCGCCACCGCTGCCAGAACTCAAGAATACTGACTGGTGCCTGGACCTCAGAAGGAAATTCCATGACGTGAATTGCAGCAGGGCAGAGGGCGACCAGCTGCAGGCATGCGAGGCCCTGCAGGAGCAACAGGACCCAGAGCACGAGGTGCAGGCCAGGAAGCAGCATCTGCCCGAGCTTGGCGCTTCCATGGAGGAAGCAGACAGACAGAGCAGCCAGGGTCAAAGCCAGCGCAGGAAGGAAAAGATGCGGAAGACAGAAGCAAGACACTGGGGACACTCAGAAACCAGGGCCAGGCCACACCGGCAGGAGTAAGGCGGAGGGCACTGACACTGCCCCCCCTCCCCCAGTGCTCGAAGAGAGCCAGTTCTCCCCACCTGCCACTGCCCAGTGCAGCTTCGATAGAAACTACCAGTAAGGAAAACAGCCAGTGAACACAAAGACAAGCCCTGCCCTGCAGGCCTGGAAAGCTGGCAGCCTCAGGGAAGCAGACCTGCATGAGTTGCGGGGCAGAAGTGGGCAGTGCTCAGGAGCAAAGAAAGGGCCTGCCCGGGAGGGACGCTGGGGAGGCCCGGGGAGTCCCACCCCGAGCAGGAGCCACCTTCCCTCGGAGAGCACAGCTTGGCCACTTTCGGGCTCCGGGGAGCCAGCGCTGCGAGGCCTCACAGTGCGAGGGAGCTCTCTGGGGGTCTTCCCCCGGGTACCTCAGGGTGGCCCCAGGTCACTGGGAATTTTCGGGGACCTTCCAAGCAGCAGTGCACAGCCCAGGTGGGCTCACCAGAACTTCGGGAGCATACTCCATGTAGACGGGCAGCTGAGATCAGTGTGGATACCAGCAAGGAGCCCCCAGCTGCGACCATGGCCGCACAGGGCAAGGTTTCAGGGCAGGCTCCGCATGTGGGAGGCCGGGGTTTCACCTTGGCATCACGTGGTTGCCAAACCCCAAGCACTGAGCCAGGAGTAGCTCCCGGCACTGCTGGATATGCCCCCCCCCCCTTCACAAATTCACCACAATAGTCTATGGAGGAAAAACACAAATAGTGTTTCTTAATACAGAAAGCAAGCGGCTGACCTGGCCAACCCAGGTTTGATTCCTCCGCCCTTCTCCGAGAGCCCAGCAAACTACTGAGAGTATCTCGCCCACACGGCAAAGCCTGGCAAGCTACCCGTGACGTATTCGATATGCCAAACACAGTGACAATTGTCACAATGGAGACGTTACTGGGCCTGCCCGAGCAAATCGATGAACAATGGGAGGACAGTGACAGTGACAGTGAATACAGAAAGAGCACTTGACAAGATGCTGTATACAATACTGTAAATACACCCAGAAAATCAGAACTGGAAAGGGCTCTCCTGGAGTCGGTCACAGGCTTCAGGAAGCCGCCTGGCTGCGAGCTCCAGCACTTGAAGTGCCTGATGCCCGGGTGCCCGCTGGGATGCCCGCTGGGATGGGAAGTCAGTGGTGGGCTCTGACGGGAGGCGAGTGGTCCTCGTCCATGGAGAAGGTACCAAGAACCGCAGCCCAGTCCAGGCCTCCAGAACCAGATTTCATGGTGACATGAAATCACCAAGTCTATTCACGGCTGGAAACAGACACAGCAAACAAAGCCGGAGAGACAGGACCGGGGGCGCAGCATCTAGCCATCGGGCGTGTATGAGGAGTCACAGAGGGCGGGCACAAAGAGCTGCAGTGTGACATATAGTGTCAGGTCACAAAGATCTGCATGGCAGGGGCTGGAGAGGCAGGACGTTGGGAGGGCGCCTGCCTTGCACATGGCAGACCCGGTTCCATCCCCAGCACCCCCAGGAGTAGCAGTAATTCCAGAGTGCAGAGCCAGGAGTAGACCCGATATGGCTCCCCTGAGCCCCGAGTAAGCCCGAGGGCTCCCCTGAGCCCCGCTGCTGGTGCAGCCCCCAATCCCTGGCCCAACACAGATTCTCCCAACACTCATCTACAAATGGAATGGAATGCCCGGGAAGACATAGGTTGAGAGCTGGGGAGGTACAAGGAGCTCCTGACTTGTGTAGCCGACTGGAGTTGGATCCCGGCACCCCAGATGGTCCCCCCAGGAGTGATCTCTGAGCACAGAGCCAGGAGCAGCCCTTGAGTGCCACCGGGTGAGGCTTGCACTCCACCCTCCCTGCCACAAAAAAAAAAAAAAAAAAAAAGAATCTCAGTAGTTTTATAGATAGAAACAAGCTGAAGAAAAACTGCTATGAGGTCAGAGTCAGAGCAGCCTGACAGGGAGTGACGCCATCGCAGGAAGACGCTGCACGAGCTGAGCTGGATTATGGTCAGGGGAGAGAGGCAGGCTCAGCGCTGGCCGTGCTCAGCGGAGCAGATGTTCAGACGAGCCTGCAGTGGAGGCCGGGGGACGGCCGACTCTTCCTGCGCCAAAGATGGAGGGGCCGGGCGTCAGCAGCCCTAGGCGACTGTGTGCCAAGACTCCGACCCCAGGGAGCCCCACGGGCCACTCAGGGCTTCTGTTCAATGTTTTGTGCTCGGGAAACGAACCCTTGAGAATCAGGAACAGAGCATACTGGCAGCCCAGGCACAGGGAGACAGCTTGGGGTGTGCCCACAGTACTGGGAGCCCCCTCTGAGGGTGTGCGGGGGGGGGCCCCGTCCTCCCTCCTCCTCCAGACACCTCGGACCAGCTGTGCCCACACAGGCAGTGACGAATTCCATCACCTTCAGAGTGTTGCTCTGACGAGATTAGATTATTTTAATATTAATGCATCGCCTAATTAAGCTGCAATTAATAATCTCTTGGGCCCAGCCTGCCTGTGTGAAGAGATGACGCGGCCGAGCTCCTTCAAGCAGGCGCATGTCCCCGGTGCAGGCGCCCAGGGGAGCCCCCGCTCAAGGCCCAGGCTGGGCTCGATGCGGGACCCGCGTGGGCAGGTCCTGTGCACGGAAGGCTTCCTGGGGCCACTGGAAGCCCCACAGCTGCCCCCCTCCACCTCCAAGTTGGCCACAGCCACAAACCTGCCCTGCCCCCGCTGCCTCCCCACCCCCGCTCCAGGTCATGCCTGGCGCCCAGCTCTGCTGACCCATCAGCTGAGGGCAGGCCACCCTTGACTGTCTCTGCATCATCAATAGCCAAAAGCAGGTGGAGGAACAGAAGAACAAAAGGGTAAGCCAAGCTGCTCCCCTCCCCCCCCTCCCTTGTCATCCACCTCCCACCCAATCCTTGTAGCCAGGCCAGGCAGAAATGCTCCCTCCTCCAAGAAGTCTACCAGGCACGTGACCCCACCCCACGGGCTCTTTCCTAATATTTGTTTCTGTGTATGCAAAATCTTATAAGAGGCTGCTTCTTACCCTGACATCCCAGGGATGAGCCACTACACTGGCGTCATTTCCTCACCCTGTCCTTCACTGGCCTGCGACTCCAGAAGTTCAGCACTCTGGGGGCAGCCAGGTACCAAAGAGACACCCCAAAAAGACCCCTGCCTCCTGCAGCCCCCAAGAAAGGGAGGTGGGAGCCCAGGGGCCGGTGAGGAGGGGCACAGAACTGGGCAGAGTCTGGCAGGGTCCTCCGGCCCGGGGCCCTGCAGGGCATAGCACAGGAGAGGTAGTGGGAAGCTCCGGGTGGCCAATGCTGCCCCACAAGACAGACACACACTGGCCCAACCGTGTTGCCTGCAGTCCTGTCTGGCACGGCTGTGGCAGCTCCAGGAGTGGGGGTGCCTCAGGTATACTCGTGGTTCTGGCATAGGGGCTCGGTGTGCAGTGCTCAGAAAGCCTCTTCGCCAGGCAGTGCCAGACCAGCGGCAGAGAGCAGCGAGGGGTGGAGGCAGGAACCTGGTCTGTTCCTCGTGGGAGATGGAGCCAAACCATGTGTCAGGCTGACACTGAGCTCTGGTGTGTGCGAGGGCCGTGGCCACCTGGGCACTGTTGACTGGGCAGGTCGGGCATGTGCCTGGTCACGCTCTCTCAAAGCCCGTTCTCCGTGGCTACAGCCCACCTCACCCAGGGCAGCGGCTTTGGGGAGCAGGGCCCGGGTCACCCCACTGACTCAGGGGGCACAGAGGCTGCTCTGCCCGGAGACCACGGGATCACATGCAGCGATACTCGCCTTGGGTGGGGACCGGTGATGGGGAAGCAGCGCAGGGGCCAGGCAGCCCCAGGGGTGGCTACAGCTCGGCGGCATCTGGGAACCGCACCGAAGAAAGGGAGATGGGAGCCCACCCTTCTGTGCCCAAGGCAGCTGCAGCCCCGAAGATGCCAGGAGACAAGCGGAAAGGGCGGGCGATGTGCAGCTCCTTTGCCGTGAGTGTGTGTGTGTTTGGGTATGGGGGTGTGAGGATGGATGTGGTTGTGTGTGTGCATGTGTGTGTGTGTTTGTGTGTGTGAGTCTGAGTAGGGGAGTGTGGGATGAGTGTGGAGGTGAGTCTCAGTGCTTGAGTGGACTCCTGCGTGTCAGGGAGCATGTGTGAGTCTGAGTGTGACAGTCTGTGCGAGTGCCGTGTGAGTCTGTGCAAGTGTGTGCCTGTGCATGTATCTCAGAAGTGTAGGGTGCTGGGCCTCCCCGCCTCGTCCTGGCCTCCACTCCAACCTACCTGCCACCTCCTTGGAGGACGGCAGCCCCGCGGCGGCCTCCAGGTGCTCGGGCAGGGGCCCGCCCCGCTCCAGGCCACGCACCAGCTCCCGCAGCCGCTCGCACTCCTCCTGCAGACGTGCCCGGTCCTCGCCCAGCTGCTGCCGCGCGGTGCTCGCCGGGTTCATGCTCAGGTGCAGCACCTTGGTCCTTGTCCGGTCGTAGTCGCCCTGTGGCAAACCCAGAGGGCAGCGATGAGCGGGGTCTGGACCAGCCAGGTGAGGGCGCTGGGCTCCGACTCCCACACACCAGAACAGTGCTGAGACATGGTAGCTGAGGGGACACCCGCGGGGCGGGGAAGAACAGGAGAGCAGGGTGGGCTCACGCGGACCCCTAGAGGCCTGAACTGCCAACTCCACTCAAGTCTCCCACACGGGTGCACATGGGCACGGGCAGCTAGATGCTGACCGCATGCTTGCCTGTGCAGACACGCCTGTCCACCCGGCTGGGAGGGGCCCTGCGGGTGCCCTGGGGAGCTCTGGGTCTCCACATGGAGGAGCGGGGCTGTGGGTTCAGGGGCCGGCGGGTGGGCACTGGGAACCACAAGGGCAGGGCGAGCCTGGGACGTGCCCACACCAAGCAGTGCCTGCCAGAGTCGTCGCGCACCTCTCACCGTCTTCACGCCCACCCAGTTTCACACCTGGACTTGGCAGAGCCATCTCGGGAGGCACAGGGGCGGGCAGGGTGCTGGTGGGTGGCCCAGCTTCCCACTGTCGCCCACTCCCTCCCAGCCCGGGTGGGCGGGACACGGTGCTTCTGATAGAGTCCAGAGCAGGGGGCTGGGCTGTGGCCACTGTCCCAGTGAGCAAGCCCAGGTCTGGAAGGTGGGGAGAGGCTTGGGCAGAGAGGACGGACGTCTCTGTTAGGGAACCAGTGGGTAGGAAAGGCACCAGCCAGCGGTGGGGGGCTCCACAGCAGAGGAGGCTGAGCCCCCCACAGGTGGGCTGCGGTTCCCTTCGGCCAGAACCCATCCACGGCGTCTCGAGCCTGCCCCCCGCCCCCCCGCTCAGAGGGGCGGCTGACGACAGCTCTGGGGAAGAAAGGGAAAATGGTTGTAATCTTCTCCTTGAAATCTGCTGCCTTGTTCCCTTCACAGCTGAGAAGACTGTTGAGATGCTGATGAGAATCTCAAAGGGAAAAGTTCTGCTCCTTCCTCTGACGTGCTTCTTCTCCTCCTCGGGAGGGTTTGTCTGCGCCGAGGGGTGCCAGGCTTGGGGGTGGCACGAGGGCTGGGTGCCTGGGGCCTCAAGGAGCCACACCCACAAGGGACCTGGAGTCGGGCTGTGCGTGTGTGGCCCCTCGGCCAAGCAGCCCCTTGTTCTCTGCATGTGCACCGGGCACAGGGACGGGGCGGGCTGCTCCCTGCCCTCAGTCTTCAGTGGGCAAGTGGGTGGGGCCCCTGCATGCCCAACAGGCGGGGGAGGCAGCGCCAGGCCCCCGGCCCCCGGCCCCCGGGGAGGGCGCCTGCCACTCTGGGCCTGACAGGCTTGCTAAGAGCCTGCTGGAAGAGGCAGCGACGCGAGGAGAATGGACGAGCACAGTTAAATAAGCGCCAGCCTCATGCATATTTATGAACCACCCGGCCTCGAAACGAAATCAATATCTCTCCAGCTGAAGGAAGTGCGGCTGGGGGAGCACAGAGCTGGGGCGCCCCCGGGTTTGAAGGGCAGGTGGGGGCCGGGCCACTGCACAGCAGAGCTCAGCACCCTGGGCCCGCCATGGGTGCTCCCCGTGAGCGCACGTGAGGCCCGCGTGACGCCCGCAAGGCACTTGCTGTCCTTGAGCCCTCGGGCAGAGTGGGGGTCACCGCATGGCAGGACCCTCAGCACTGGGCATCTGTGAGATCACGGGACAGGTGAGGACAGGCCAGGGCTGGGCGGTGGGAACAGGCCCGGCACAGGTCATCTGTGTCCGACAAGTCCCTTCTGCCCTGGGCCACGGCTGGTGAGAATGAGCCAGAGCCCTGGCAGTCAGGAGCGCTGTGTCCCGCTCACCTGGGCCAGAAGGGAGCGGGTGACGATGGGTGGCTGGGCCGCCCGCCAGCATCCTGCCCGCCCCTGTGCCTCCCGGGACGGCCTTGCCAAGCCCAGGTGTGAAACTGGGTGGGCATAAAGATGGCGAGAGGTGCACGGCGACTCTGGCAGGCCCTGCTCAGAGGCGCTGGCCTTCCCCAGCCGCAAGTCCAGGCTCTGCCCTGGCTTCTCTCCCGAGGCACTGCCCCAGCAGACCCCAGCCGGACACTGCAGTTCCTCCTTCCCCTCTGGCAAGGTGACTATCAGGACATCGGAGGTCCCTGTGTGGGGTGAACAGGGACCCCAGCCAGCAGGTGAGGTGGGAGGAGGGGGTGTTACCCTGGGCTGTGCACTGAGCACGACCCAGCTGCAAACACATTCCAGAGTCTCCTGGGACTGGAAGGACATGCACACAAGACGCAGTGTCCACTCCACCACCGGCAAGTGTCCAGGTCAGCAGACTCCGCTCTGGCACAGCTGTGCAGTCACCCACATGGCGTTCCCAGAGCATCCTCATCATGCCGAATGGCCACTTCGTCCCCACTCTCGAGCCCTGCCACCAGCTGCTCGACAGGCAGAGAACACGTTGTGGTCCCCGGGAGGGGACAACAGGACCCTGAGAGCCTCTTACAGCCCCGCTCTCAGTGCTGGGGTGTAGACGAAGCTCTCGCTCCTGGGGTGTGGACAGGGTGGAGGGCAGGGGCCAGGGTGCTGCTGTGGGCAGCCGTGGCCGTCGTGGGCACCTTCGGTCCGTGGGCCGCGGTGCTTTCAGCAGGGGACTTATGTGGTGGGCCAGAATCCCCACCGGGCTGCCGGGCACTCACCCCTCCCACCAAGCATCAAGAGAAGTCTCTGGAACAGGGAAGGAGACAGGCCTGATGCAGCCTTAGACAACACGCTGGCTCGGCAGCTCTCATTCTCCTCCGCCCAACGTGGCAGAACATTCGGGAGAAAGAAGGCGACTCAGAAGAGGAAGGAGCTGCCAGTCAGCCCAAAAGAGGGGCGGCAGGGGGGACCCAGCAGCCCCCAGGGGCCTCCTGAGAAGTATCCCCGCTGCCCTTCCAGTCTCTCGGGTCTCGTGGGGAGTGAGGGGCCGGGGGGAGGCCCGGGCTGCTGAGAGGCAGGGCCCCTCCTGGAGGTCGGGAGGTGCTGGCACTGCCAAGCCCTGGCCCAGACACCGCGATGGCAAGGGCCCAAGACCTGGGGCCTCCTCTGCAAACACCGAGCCTGAGGGGCCCCAGGAGCTGCGGGTGGCGGCTCCGGCCACGGAACCCCAACAAGGGGACGGGAGGGCGGTGCCAGCGCCGGAGCCTCGGGAAGTCTAGGACAAGAAGGGGACTGAATATTCAGGACGTGTCACCCTCATAAAAAATCAGAAGAAATCAGCGGCTGTGGAAATTTCTCCACACAAGCGCACATCAGCAAGCGAGTGGGGCTTTTTTTAGCCTCCGCGTTAATAAACATGAGCAGCCTCACGCCACCTAAGCGGGGCTTGGACTCTTCCTCATTAAGTGTCTTGTTTTACACAGAAGCTTCAGGAAGGTGGCCTGAGAGCCCATGCTGGGGCCGCTGGCCACACACGGGAGCCTGGAGTGAGCCTGTGACCCCCCCCCCCCCGCCAAACACTGAGCTTAGCAGATGGCCACATGCCTGGAGGGTGGGACACACGCGCCCTCTGCCCACTGAGAGGGACACGCCAGAGGGATCCCGGCAGAGGCGCAAGCGAGAGCACAGCCTTGTGCTGCCTCCAAAGGAATCTGCATGTGGCACATGATCTACAGAGCCTGCCCCAGGGAGAGAAGCTTTACCTGAGAACTTGGGGTGAGGCGGCCAGGAGCTATAGCTTAATGGGGAGGGTGCCTGCCTGCACACGGCTGACCTGAGCTCATCCCCAGTAGCTAGAGAGTCCCCGAGCACCAGGAGCGGTTCCCAAGGCAGAGTCAGGAACCCCTGAGCAGCGCCGGGTGTGGCCCCAAACCCAACCCAACCCAGAGAGAGCTTGGGCCGTACGGGATGTCCCGTGAACAGGACCACGGCACCAGGCGCTTCTGAGGATGGCTCAGCACCGGGCAGGAGAAGAGCCGCCTTCTGACCGTTTGGCAGGGGCACCCCCAGCTGGCCTCTGGGGGCTGAGGGGGTCAGTGTTCAGGCTTAGCCAGCGGCCGAGGGATGACCCTGAGCTACTTCACCTAAGAGACACCTGAGGAAATAAGAAAAGTTGGCCTCAAGCTTCATGGCTTTTCTAAAGCCAAACCCAAACTTCAAGTCACTCAAGTATTTACATGTAAAAAGGAAACTACAAAACACCAAGGGTCAGAGCCAGAGTGACAGCACAGCGGGAAGGGCACTTTCCCTGCGCATGACTGACCCTGGCTCAATCCCTGGAACCCCATATCGTCTCCCTGAGCACCATCAGGAGTGACCCTTGAATGCAGAATCAGAAATAAACCCTAGTACTGCTGGGTGTTGCCCAAAACCCCAAAACTAACCCTAACCGAATGAGAAGAAAACCATGGTGCTTGCTCTGCAGGCTTGACCCTCAGCACCCTACATGGTTCCACGAACGAGCCAGAAGTGACCCCTGAGCACAGGGCCAGACGGAAACTCAGCACTTCTGGGTGTGGCCCAAACCCAAACACTTGGGCTTGGTAAAATGAAAATTAACAAACTCACAAACATCTTAATACACAAAGAATTCTATCAAGAAAAGGCGCTTGAGAGACGGTTTAGGGCCACCCCCCAGGAAGGTCCCGAGAAAGTCCTCTTCTGAGACCACAAGACATCAGCTCTCCTGTCCACCCACTGGCCAGGAAGCTCAACTCAGCAGTGGAGTCGGGGGGAGGTGGCTCGCAGGGATGTGGGGCACATGTTAGGGAGTCCCTGGCAGCACCTCCAGGCGCAAGGCTCTGGCCACTGCCGAGCTCGGAACACCGCAGATGGCACCTAGGCCCTGGCCACTTGAGAGTGGACACTGCAGGGGCCATGCTGGCACCATCCGGAGCAGGGTGGGTCACCTGGCCTGCTCAGCCCCCAGTGCTGGGGGCCCAGGGAGGGCAGGGAGGAGCTCGGGGAGATGTGGGAGGCAAGGCCTGGGCGGAGCTTCTGCAGAGCAGAGTCAGGCCCGGGGTCACCATCTCGGCACCCTCAGCACTACAGCACGTGGGTCCTGCTCCTGCAGTGGCACCGGTCAGCAGGAACATGCTGATCTTTGGGGCAGGAAGTGCCTAAGGCCCTGACCAGCAGCCAAGGGTCCACAAGGGACAAGTAGGAGAGGTGGGTCTGAAGAGAGAGTCAGTGCTTATGATTGGGAACAGGTGAGAGAGGGTGGGCAGGGGGGAAGAGAGGAGGACAGAAGAGGAGGATGGGGGACAGGGAGAGGACGGGGAAGGGGGGAGGATGGGGCAGGGAAGGGGGAGGATGCGGGAGGGAGAGAGCAGGAGAGGGGAAAGGAAGGGGAGGGGGAGCAGGTGGGCAGAGGGGGGAAAGGATTGGGGAGGGAAGAGGACAGGAGGGGGAGAAGATGGGAAGGGGGAGGGTGGGGAGGGCATGGGGGAGGGTGAGGATGGGGAAGGACGGGGGAGGGGAGAGGATGTGGGGGGAATGGACAGGGAGGGGGAGGGCAGGTGGGGGCGACAGGTCCTGGGTTTGGGGCTGTGAGGGAGCGGGGCGGGCGAGGGGCACGGGTGGGGGCTGGAGTCTATGATTAGCCGCTGGGAGCCTGGTGACGTAGGGCTGGAGCGGGGACGGCCCCGGGCACCGTGCTTTTCCGCTCACAGGGAACCCGGCAATTTTCTACCCACTCCCTTTCCCAAAAGATGCTCCTGCTGTAAATGTCAGCGAGCCTGCACGTCTGGGCTCTTTCCCCGAGCGGCACAGCCGTGGGGGGCCCAGCCAGCCAGGAAGGAGGAAGCAGCAGCGAGGGGGAGGCGGCTCGGACCCCACGCCAGGGCCGGGGGCAGAGGCTCGGCTTCGTAATACCTGCCTGCCTGCTGCTGTGGGGAGCATGCAGACCAGGCGCTGGAGGGAGGGTACCGGGTGGGGGCGGGGCAGATGGTCCCCCCCCCGCCCCCGCAACCACAGCGGACCCCAGGGTGGATGGACGTGGCTGCAGTTCCTTCAGTCTGGCTGCGGGTTGGAGGACACGCCTCCTTAAGTGGCACGGAATCTAGAAGTGCTGAGGGTGCCGGCCGTGTTCACCTGCTCCGGGGGCAGGACAGAGCCGGCCTGGGCCGAGCTGTCTGATGGACAAGCCCTCTGGGCCTCCCCAGAAGTCACAACGCAAGTGCCTGTAGCACCTGGCCACGCTCCCCAGAGGTTCTGGCCCGTGTCTGGAGGCTCTCTTGGGACCTCTGCAGACCCAGACGTGGGGAGACTGCAGCCCAGGCTCGGGGTCCGGCCCAGCACCCTGACTCCTCAGGGGGACAGCGGCGCTTCCCTCTTCTCTGATGGGCCCACAGTTTGCTGAGCTCAATCTTTTTTTTTTTTTTGGTTTTGTTTTTGGGCCACATCCGGTACTCAGGACTTATTGTGGCTCTGTATTCAGGGGTCACTCCTGGGGTGCCTAATCGAACCCCGGTTGGCCGTATGCAAGGTGAGAGTCCTACCTGTGAGGCCGGGACATGGTGACATGGCTGTCCTCTAAAGCACGGGCGTGTCTGAGCTGGCATCTCACCCCCTCAGCACTGGGGCCCTGCGGGAGGCAGCGGCGCCCAGGGCGGGGCGGGCCCAGCTGTGGACCGATCACAAAGAACGCTAACTAGTCGGGCGCCCTCTGCCAGCACATGTTCCCAATTAAGTCAAACTGTGCTGATTTCAATCACTCTTCCCTGAAGAGCCGACTTGAAGCCACCTCGGGGAGCGGGCAGTATGGGTGGGCGCTGCCCCTCCCGACTGGGCCGCACCAGCCTCCATCACAGGGCCATGGGGGGGCCCGGGAACAGGGCTCAGGGGCAGAATCTCTTGGTCCCAGCTCCCGACACTTTCAGACAAGAGTCACTGGCCACCTTGGTGACGCTGTTTTCCGTAGGCACTCGGGGGCCTGGGTGCGTGGGCACCCAGCAGTGGCGGTCATTGAGTGTCGAGCTGCATCTCCTGCATGTGGCTTCGGTGAAGAGGGCAGAAAGGGGGGCCGTGGCATGAGACCGGGGACACAGGAGGACAACAGGCGACGGGAGAGGCCAGGGTGGACAGGGCCAGAATCAGTGCTACAGCTGACCACGGATGTCCTCACCCCTCAGGGCTGGCTGCAGGGCACATGGGGCTGACCTGGGTTGGGGCCCCGAGAACAGACCAGCGCGCTGTGGACAGGGGCTCCAGGAGCTGGGCAGGGGGAGGCCGCACAGGCCTGTCGGACAGAAGTGGACACGTTCCAGCTGGCCAGCCCATGGGGCAGCCACTCCTGGGAAAGGTCTGTAAGCCCAGGAGTGGGCGGAGAGGGAGCAAGTGCAGCCGGCAGTGTGGTTCCAATTAAAGCACAGGAGCCGGCCCCTGGCTTTGTCCCAGCTGTCACTCGGCCACCTCCAGGCACAGGCGGTGACAGGGGATCTGGTGTCCTCTAATAGGTGTCAGATCAAGCTGTGGCCTGTCCAGGGTCTGGGAATCACACACCCGTGGTCAGGGCTGTGCAGGAAGAGGAAATGAAGGGCGAGGGGAGGGGGATGGGCAGGTGCACGGGGACGGGGCCAGCTGTACCAGGACAGGGGGGCCTGCACGGGGTTGGGGGGGCAGCAAGGAAGGGAGGGCCCCCCGGAAGCTCTCTCTGAGCCCCAGGAACGGGCATACGGGAGCCTGAGCACCGACCAGGCCGTCGCGGGTACGGGCTCACCTGCAGGGTGAACCGCTCGAGCTGTGCTTCCAGAGCCTTCTTCTCTTCTTCCAGACGGCTCCGCTCCCCCTCCAGTTCCTCAATCTTCATCCTGCAAGGAGAGCGGGATGATGACAGGGGCCAGGCTCGGACACAGGCCATACCGCAGCCGGGGCAGCCTGGGGGTCTGGTCTGAGGACGCCCGAGGGGCAGGCGGTACGCAGAGGCTTACTGGGCTCGGAGGCCAGGACAGAGGTGTCCACTCTCAGAGGCGGGCACACCGAGCCTGGAGAGCTGGAAGGACAGTGGATAGCTCAGCTAATGCACAGTGGTCGAGGGTGGGAGACAGCTGGGCAGGGTCCAGGAGGGCTGTCTTGAGTCCCTCAGCCTGGATGTCCCAGGGCCAAGACAGGAACGCGGGTGTGTTCAACTCATCCTAGCTAAGTGCCAATTTTTAACTTCAATTTAACATTTAACTTTGGGGCCCGGGGATGTAGATTAGTGATAGAAGATGTGGGAAGAGCATCTGTTAGCCAGTCTACCCCATGGGACTTAAAAATCGCACTGTGACAGGCCTGTCAAAAAAAAAAAAAAACAGGGGTGACTGGCGCCTCCGCTCCCAAGGAAATTCGGGGGCTGTGGGTCAGGAGAGCAGAGAATCAAGACATAGACTGTCCTGGTGGCCCAGTAAAGTGCAAAGACTCCAACTTTCCCTCATGTCAGCTCTGAGAGGGGCTCACACAGACCACAGAGGCAGAACCTCACAGCTCACGTGCCCCCCCACGCCCCCACAGCAGAGACAACACAGCGAAGTGACTGTGTGAGGGTCCATTCTTCAGAGGCGGGGCCCCAGGGGCCAACCAAGCTGCCTTCCCCCAGCCACGGCTCGGCACAGGGCGCGGGGCCGAGGATGCGGGGCCGGGGATGCGGCTGGGAGTGGAGCAGAGCACGAACGTCACAAGCACATTCCCGCGACCCGGCTCCCAGACCGTTCTGTGGCATCACAGCCACTATAGAGAAACCTGGAACTTGGGACAAACCATCAGGCAGGTCACACAGCGGGCTGGGGACCCCCACTCTGGGGGTTGCCCCAACACTGCCTCGAGCAAGCGCTGTGCACACTGCCCCAGGCAGCCTCTGTAGGGCCGAGCTGCTGCTGGCACCACTCAACGGGCTCAGGCCAGGCCCGCAGTAGTGAGCCTGATGATGGGGCACATGGCCCAAGGAGGAAGTGTCAGGCCCCGCTCTGCAGGAAGCCGCCCGTGCCCTTCACAAGAGGCAGTTGGGCCCACATAGGCCGTCATGGTGGGAGTGGGGGGCTCGGGGCTGTGGCTCAGGCTGCTTCTTCGAGACCTGCCAGAGGAGCTGCCCTCGGGCCGTACTGGAGAGAGGGTGTCATGGATACCGAAGGCTCGGAGGCGCAAGTCACACAAGATCTGTGCAGTCACAGCCGTGCTGACAGCGGGGCCTGGGAAACTGTTCTCGCTGTCGGAGAGCAGCGGCACGAGTGGCGCTTGGTTATGCATCTAAAAACAAGACTTTCTCTCTTCTCTGTCTTCCAGGCAAGTCATTACCTTATTGAGACAGACAGAAAATGAATGACTAAGTGTGTGTGCATGCGTATGTGCGCGTGTGTGCATGTGTGCATATGCGCACGTGTGTGTGTATGTCTGCCTGCAGAGGGTCCCTAGTAACCAATAATGGCACAGGTCCTTTTTTCCTTTGGGGGTATGGAATCTAGGGTTTCACTTGTCGGGGGAACCTGCAGTGCAAGGGCCTGTGGTTGCATGCCACAGGCAACCCCAAAGGCCCTAACCAGCGAGGGTTGGGGAAGGGGAGGATGACAGGGTGGGAAGACAAACAGATGATACGTAAGGACCCGGCCCTGGCGTGGATGAACAGAGAAATGTGCTGCCACGAAATGAAGAGGTGACAGATGAGACCGAGGCACAGATGTAGGTATGACTATATGCGTAGGTGGACAGGAAGAGGAGACATTGGCTGATAAACTTAGATCAATATTTGTGAGGTCTCAGCTAATCACGGCAAGGCTGCAGCCATGAGGGAGACCAGCTGGAGAGCTTTCTGGTCTCAAATATTTGTCATGGATGACACATTCAGGGCTGGAGAGATAGTTCAGCTGGGAGGGTGCCTGACTTACAAGTGACGGACCTGGGTTCAATCCCCAGAACCCTCCAGGGTCCCTGGACACTTCCAGGAGTGATCCCTGAGCACAGAGCCAGGAGCCAGTCCTGAGCACAGCTGGGTGTGGCCCTCAAACAAAACAAATTACAAAAACCCCAAAGGAATGATCGGCTCTATGGAAGTGGTGGAGGCGTTGGCAGAATGACAGCCTGGAGAGTCCAGTAGTGGGGAGTGGAGAGGGGCTGGAGGGGCAGAGGGAGCCCCCTGTGCTCTTCTGTTGCCCCTTAGGCTGTGGTGTCCCCTCAGGCTGTGGCCGGCTGCCTTGGCTTCTCCTCACCCCGTCAGAGCTGAGCAGGGACTGGCTCCTTGCAGGCATGGTTGGCTGTGCCCAGAAACAAACATTGGGGACCATAAAGGAAGCCTGCAGTGTGGATGGCACCCTCTGGGACAGGGGGTCCTGCCACGGATGCCTTTTCTTTTTTCTTTTTGGAGGGGGGTGTGTCATTATTTGGGGGGGGGGGGAACATGTGTTTAGGGCCACATCTGGTTGTGTTCAGGGCTCACTCCTGGCAACGCTTGGGGAACCATGTGCTAGAGACTGAACCCTCGTACTAGCTCTCTGGCCCTGGAAGGAATGATTTTACCCACACCCTCTCCCCACCCCGATTCCTGTGTTGCATACTTAATCTCTAATGTGACAGTCCCTGAGGCGTGGCCTTGGAGGTATCAGTGGTCCATGAGGTTCCATGATGGGACTCAGTCCCAGAGGGCACAGGTCAGGGTCAGCTCATGTGATGTCTCTGTGCCAACATCTCACCGTGGCATTGCTCTGGGCTTCCTCGAAGGAGCAGGAGCCACGGAGGGGGCAGCAAAAGCATGGCCGCCTGGCCAGTACTCTCCACCATGGAAACACCATCACAGACAGTGTCACAGGCCAGAGGGGGCAGGAGAGATGGGGAAAGCCAGCGAGGTTAGCAGGCTCGCTCTGGAGCGGGTTTGCGACTTTCCTGTAGATAAAGAAACATCCTGACGGGGCTGGAGCGATAGCACAGCGGGTAGGGTGTTTGCCCTGCATGCCGCTGACCCAGGTTCGATCCCTGGCATCCCATATGGTCCCACAAGCATTGCCAGGAGTAATTCCTGAGTGCAGGGCCAGGAGGAACCCCTGAGCATCGTTGGGTGTGACCCCCCCCCCCAAAAAAAACCACCCTGAGACGGGGTTGGCTAGAAGGGAATGGAAGGAAGGAGGCAGGCCTGGCCTCAACCCAGTCACACCACAGCCACTTGGGGATGGTCCCAGAGAACCTCACCGAGGCAAGGGAGATGGGCAGAGGCACGAGAGAGGCACGATGACCCTAAATGCACACAACTCTGGGTGGAAACTCAAAACAGACAAAGAAGAAAATAAAAGAAAGAAAGAACTGGCTGAAGCAGACGAGTACAGAGCAGGGCTGGGAGCCCGAGTCCCACTGTCAGGAGGAGGCAGATGACGGAAGCTCTGAGGTACACGAGCCAAGACCTCGTGAGACTCACAGGACAAACGTCGAGCTCCTACCCAGCACCTCTCCTCAGAGAGAAAGCAAGACAGGGCTGTGCCCGGGACAGGGAACAAATTCCAGTGACCCGAGGCCTGAGGTGCAGCTTACAGGCAGAGGGCAAGTGTCACACGAACAGGTCCTGGGTATGGAGCGGAACCTCTCACGACAATGAAAACCCCAAGCCAAGTAACAAGCTCTATCTGGAAACCTTACTGGCAGTAAGCCAAGTATCAGGAACAGGAAGATAAAAGGGAAATCCTCAAACGCTGGAAACCGTACTGATGCACAGTAAAATAACACTTCAGTTAACAAAGAGGAGGAAACTGCAAACTACCATGAATGGACTTTGCTGGAGGACACTGAGCCTTAGTGTGGGAGCGGAAGCCCTTGGAAACACTGCAGCTCAAATGCTTAGACTAGAAAACAGACCCATGTCAGTCATCTAAGCTTGCCCCACCAGGTGAGAAAAACAAGCAGAGCAAAAGGAAGATGTAAGAGCAGCACGCCAAGAGACGGAGGAAGGAGAGCAATGAGGAAGATGGGAGGAACCAAACACTTGTGTTCTGGAGACCACGAAACTGTCAGTCTCTAGCCACACTGCGGCACTGGGGAAGACACCCCGTCCACAGCAGGAGTGTGGGGTATGTGCGGCCACCAGGCCAGGCCCACAATCCCGAGAGCCTGGCCAGCAGCACCCACGCCCGCCAGCTACAGCACTGGAACTGGAGGGTTCCCAGGACCCCCGAGGGGATCCACGGAGAAACAAAGCCTGTTCTGCACAATCTGTTCCGGAAAGCAGGAGAAAGAAACTCAAGTCATGAGGCCACCTTCTGCTGATGCAAAAGCAGACAGGAATGCACAAGAAAACCCTGATCTTGCTCATGAATATGGACACAGGAGTCATCTACAAAGCATCAGCAAGCGGGTCTGGCAATGCGTAAGAAGGAACGGGGAGGAAGGGGATATCAGGTGGTTGGATACTAAACACCAGATTGATGGAATCTCCCACAGTGACAAGTCTAAAGAAGAAAAAACAAATGATCCTATCAATCAACTCGTGGAGAAAGGGTTTGATAGGAATCGACGTTCATTCATGATAAACACGTTAAAAAATATCAAGAATTCAAAGGCAGGGCCAGTGGGGTAGTGCAGTGGGTAGGAAGCTTGCTTTGCACATAGCTGATCAGGGCCCAAAGCCCAGCACCCTGTATGGTCCCCAAGCACTGCCAGGAGTGACCTACCCCCCAAGCACAGAGCTGGGAGTCAGTCCAGAAAACAAGGGGAAGATGGCCCCCTGCCACAATACTCTCAGGATCGCCCAGTCTTCCCCAGAGTAGCTGCCAGGGAGGGCCCAGAGCTACGCAGCCAACACTAGCCAAACCTACAAACTCTTCACAGAGAAAATTCCAAGGACTCGAACCAGCACGAG